CCCACCCAGACACCATTAACACACAAAAGTCCTTTTGTCTCCAGAGATAGTAAAATTTCTCCCTCAGACCTTGCCCTCCAGCTGGGGCGCTCTCCCTACCTGGCAGATGAAAACAGGCCACTTTCCCCAGAGCGCCTACATTTTTCCGGAAGGAGTGAGTTTTCTTCTCTTTTGGTCATTCCTAGACCACAGCCTGGGCGTGTCAACATCACCACCACCACCACTACCCCTGCCCCAATAAAGTCCTTTGAGATCCTATGCAGTGGCTCTTTCTGGTCCCTCCCTCTGTCAGCTCCCAGGAGGGTCAAAGAGGAGAGAAGGGAATTAGCGGAGGGAGATGGAGTGAGAGGAAGACCGGGGGAGGGGGCCAACGGCCCCTCATCAGCCCCTACTTTGCTCCAGGCACATCGGCTAGATCAGCCATGCGTGTGTATGTATTATTATCCCATTTGACAGATGAGAAAATGAAGCTTAGACCGAGTGTCCCTTTCCAAATGCTGGAAATAAGTGTAACAAGAGAAACAAGGATACCGTTTTGAGTTCATTATTCTCATATATCCTTCCTACTTTCTTTTGGGAGGGGGGCATTAAAATGTTCTTTCATTTATAAAACAATGGTGATAATAAATGTTAGATTTTAAAGAAAATTATTAATGTTCATATTTGGGGAAAAAAAGGTTTGCCAACCCTATAACAATTTCCCAAATGTTCTGGAAATTTAAGGGGCATGTGACCTCCTGAATTAAATGATGTGCATGAGGTCACATAGCTAATAAAGAACAGACATGGGATTCAGTTTCATCTGACTTCAAATCTTGTGTTGTTTTGACTGTTCACTTTGCCTTCCTGTGTCCTAAGTACCAGGATAATGAAAATAACAATGATGGGCATTTACGAGCTACTTAGGACACTCCATCTCATGGAACTGCCATAGCTATCTGAAGTGATAGGTACTGTTCCTATCTGCATTTTACAGATATAAAAACTGAGGCTGAGAAAGCTGGATTTGAATCTGCTCTATAAGGCTCAAAAGCCCGCTGTCTTAATCTGTTCACTCTCCTGCCTCTTAACTGATAAGGGAGAAACTCAGAGATTGAACAAAGGTAGAGAAAATTGAGCAAAAAAAAAAAAGGGCATTGTAGGGTAGGAATTCCAGATGGCCACCTGGGTTCCCCATTTCTGATAGTGCCTTTGACTAGAGCCCATGACGAAAGGACAATGCTTTTGTGCCTGCTTTTGCTGGTCACGCCTTAGACACGCAGACCTGGGGGTGAGGACTGGGGCGAAAGGAGTTGCATTTAGTATCCTGGCTTGTTAAGCTCAGTTCCAACTGAAGGGGAACTTCTCTTGCAAGAAATCAGTAGCAACAACTTTCTAACCTCTGTAGTATTTTATACTTTTTGAAGACTTTCATACCCCAGTCTTATTTGGTCACTCATTTGTTCATTCATTCGCCAATCAAAAGGGTTATGAGCATAGACTCTGGAGCCCTACTGCCTCGGTACCAATGTAACTTAGTGGCTGGGTGTGCTTGGGTAAGTTACTGTGAGCTCTCAGTCTCATCTGCAAATGGGGACACTAATAGTATCTGCCTCATGAAGTCATTCAAAACATGAAATGAATGAATATATGGAAAACACTTAGAACAGTGCCTTGCACATAGTGAGTGCTATAAAATTGTCAGCTCTAAGCACAGTGGTCATTAATATAGATCAGGGGTGGGCAAGCTATGGTTCACAAGCCAAATGTCACTCACCACCTGTTTTTGTAAATAAAGTTTTATTGGAACTCGGTCATGACTATTTCTTTCTATATGTTTTATGGCTGCTTTCATGCTTCCACAGCAGACATGAGTAGTTGTGAAAGACTATATATCTTGCAGAGCCCGAAATATTTTCTAACTGACCCTTTACAGAAAGTCTGTCAACCCCTGAGATCTGTAGTGTTCTTGTATTCCCAGAGCTTATAATTCTAGTCGGACAGTCAAGCATTAAATAGAAGATGAATACAGATACATCATTATAACGGAAGTGGTACCTGGGAGAAGAACAGGGAAGTACAAAAGCATCACATAGGTCTTCCTGTAGGGGGACGTTTTTTGATGAAGAAGAGAAGCTGGTCAGTCTCTGAGGCTGTGATGACAAATGGGTAGAAAGCTGGGAGAAAGAGCACGTGGCACTATCAGGAACTAAAGAAGCCCTGCTGGGTGTTGGGGGGAAGGGAGTCAGATGAGGCCAGGCAGGGAGGCCAGGGCCAAATCATGAACAATCTTGGGGCTTCACTTGAGGACAATAGGGGAGGCACAGGAAGATTCTAACAGTGGAATGACATGTCATATTTGCATTTGAAAAGATCATTCTGGCTACATTAATGGGGGAAAAAATATGATGAGAGTCAGAATGGATGCTGGGGTCCGGGAAGAAGGCCATTTTGATAATCCAGGTGAGAACCAAGGTAGTGGCACTGGAAACAAAGAGAAGTGGATCCATTTTTGAGATGTTAGGAAGTGGAATTCCGGGGGTCTTTGTAATGGTTGGTCGTATTGGAAATGGAGTAGATGAAGGTGCCATTTTATCAAGATAGGAAATATAGGGAAAGGAGTTTTAAAAGAAGCAAAGAGCCAGATTGTAATTAGGGGTGTATTATCTTTGCGATGTCTGTGAAACATATAAGTGGAGATATCTAGGAGGCAGTTGGATATATGAATCTGGACTCCAGAGGAGAGATTTAGATTGAAGGTACGCAATAGAGAGTCACAGGTATACGGATGGCTATTGAAGCCATCATAATGAATGAGATTGTAGGAAGAGAGAATAATAGGTTAAGAAAAAAAGAAATAAATCTAAACTAAGTCCCAAGTAACTGTAGTATTTAAGAACAGGAAGAGAACCATGAACTGTCAAGAGACAGACAAGAAAAGAATAGTCAAGAAGGAAGGAAACCGGAAGACTATTGCAGAATGGATGCTAAGGGAAGCGCTCATTGAAAGGAGGAGTAGTCAACTGTCAAATTCTGCCGCGGGTCCAGTAGAGTGTCCATTGAATGTTTAGGCATGGAGTCATTCTAACTCACCAATGAAGACTAAGTGGCCTGTGTGTCTGGGGTGGCAAGGTGGAATCAGAAGGAGGCAGTGCTGTAGGTAGGGAAAATAGAGCTGGTGTAGACAGCTATTTAAAAGGGAGGAGAGAGCAGATTTAGTAGCTGAGATGGGGAAGGAAGTTATTGTGGGAGGTTTTGTTTGTTTTTTTTTTTTAATAAAAGATTATAGTATATTCAAATATTGATAGGATTCTGCTTCTGAAAGTTTGTCCTACAGATATACTCCCCACATGTGGGTCAAGACACATGTATGAAGACAGTCACTGTTTGTAATTGCAAAAGCTTGGAAACAACCAAAATGTCCAGCAACAGGACACCAGTAAAATTACTCATGGGACATTCACACAGTGGAATACTACACAGCTACTCAAGAGAATGAGGTAGGTGTGCTGGTGTGGAGATCACCCTCAAATACTAAGGGTGGGGATGGAAGAAGCAAATGACAGAAAAGTGTGTTTAATATGTTTCCATGTATTTATATGCATTTATATTTGTGTGTATGTCTTAGTCAGTTCAGGCTGCCATAACAAAATGCCATAGCCTGGGTGGCTTAACCAACATTAATTTTTTTTTTCCATGATTTTGGAGGCTGGAAGCCTGAGATCAGGGTTGCAGTATGGTTGGGTGGTGGTGAGAGCTCTCTTCCCGGCTTGCAGACAACCACCTTCTCACCATGTCCTCATATGGCAGAGAGCAAAGTCTCTCAAATCTCTTCTTATAAAGACACAGATCTTATTGGATCAGGACCCCACCCTTATGACCTCATTTAATCTTAATTATTTCCATAAGATTTTGTCTTCAGATACAAATTGGAGGGTTAGGACTTTAACATCTGAATTTTGGGAGGACACAATTCAGTTCATAGCAGTGTATATGGGTACATATATGCATAATTTCTGGAAATATATACAAGAATTTGTTTAAAAGTTTAATAGAATGAAATGTGGGATCTAAAGTAAGAGGAAAGTTTAGTTTTCATTATGTTCTGTTTGTCTAATTTTCATTTTTAACAT